AATAATTGCATATATAGTAATTATCTAAGAGATTGAATTACTTTATTGTGTTAATACTTATTCAATAATAAATTTTGTAAATATTGGTAGCTCTACAATGTCATTTATTGGAATCTTACTATGATGTACAACTGTGTTGTGATTTATTGAACTGTGTTGGGATTTACTGTGAGTAAACTAAACAGACCTTTAGCAAGGAGTAGACCTCTTCCCCTCTGTTTGCTAAAGGATATTTTTAAACTAAAATCTCCATCACCCTGGAGTATCCTTCAAAAATTAGTGGCTGGGACAATATACATTTGCAGAGAAATCTGATAACATATAAAAAACATCATGATAATTGCCCTGCTATTTCAGGTTCATCTCTTCATTGTATTGCAACAGTAAAAGCAACTTTTACCTTTTTCTTCCTTCTGTGATTATTTTCTTTGGTGCACAATAAGTTTTCTAAATTGTATTTTTTAATCTTTTTCCTTTTTTTTTTTTTGTTTAGAAATATCATTATCATTTATATATTTTTATTCTATACACTAGGGTTATTTTCCTGTATCACATCATCAGTCTCTAAGGAAAATGCACTAGACATTACTCTGATGGGCAAGAATATAAATACAGAAATATTGGATATGGGGGAAACATTTCATAGTCCTGAAAAAATATTCCCCACTGTGTTTAATGCTAGTGTAATACCAAGAGCAGTCAGACCTGAACATGTCATAGTCCTCTTACCTTGTTGACAGCTTTCTAGCCTGGCAAGCTGATGAATGAGATCTCTGAAGTACTGTGTATACCTGACAAACGTCTCAGCAAGGGGCCTTTGCTTTTGTCGCTGCAGCTGGGCAACTACTGCTTTCTTTCACAGCAAGATGTCTTCATGTGCAACTCTAAGTCCTGGGGGGATCACTTTAAGGACACCTTAGGCACTGTGCTCTTCAACATCTTCCTAAATGACCTGGATGAAGGACTGGAAGGGATACTAAGCAAGTTTGCAAATGACAAAAAACTGGAGAAGCTGTTGGCTCCCCCAAAGGCAGGGAGGCCCTGCAGAGAGACCTCAACAAATTAGGGGACTGGACAATCACCAACCACATGAAGTTCAAAAAGGGAAAGTGCCAGATTCTACACCTGAGATGCAACCCTGGGTGTATGTACAGACTGAGAAATTACCTACTTGAAAGCAGTGCCACAGAAAGGGACCTGGGAGTCCTGGTCAATGGCAAGTTGAATTATGAGTCAGCAGTGCCCCGGCAGCCAGGAGGGCCAACTGTGTCTGCGGGGGGCATCAAGCAAAGCATCGCCGGTCAATCAAGGGAGGGGATTGTCCCGCTCTGCTCTGCACTGGTGTGGCCTCACCTTGAATACTGTGTGCAGTTTTGGGCACCACAGTATAGTAAAGATATGAAGCTGTTAGAGAGCATCCAAAGAAGGGTAACAAAGATGGTGAAGGGTCTTGAGGGGAAGCCATATGAGGAGCAGCTGAGATCACTTGGTCTGTTCATCCTGGAGAAAAGGGGACTGAGGGGAGACCTCACTGCAGTCTACAAGTTCCTCATGAGGGAAGAGGAGGGGCAAGCACTGATCTCTTCTTAGTGGTAACCAGTGATAGGACCCAAGGGAACAACCTGAAGTTGTGTTAGGAGAGATTTAAGTTGGATATTAGAAAATGGTTCTTCACCCAGAGGGTGGTTGGGCACTGGAACAGGCTCCCCAGGGAAGTGGTCACAGCACCAAACCTGGCAGAGTTCGAGAATCATTTGGACAATATTCTCAGGCACATGGTGTGACTCTTTGGGATGGTCCTGTGTAGGGCCAGGATTTGGACTCAATGATCCTTGTGGGTCCCTTCCAACTCAACATATTCTCCGATTCTGTGACACTTTCCCATTGTCTAAGAAGCAACGCCTTCTATTTCTAATGATCATAATCGCCTAAATCAGAATAAAATTGGAAAGCACAGTTCCCATGTAAGGGAGAAAAACTGAACTTGTGTAGTGATTTGTTAAGGATATCCATGTCCCATTTAATCTATTTGGACTCTTTCAAGATTGTTACTGGAATACTGTTCCTGTGGATTTGTTTTATTACTTATGAGGAAGCTGTTCTGCACCACTTGCTCACCTAAATATCCTGTACATCCCACAATTTCTCTCACTGGCACACAGTTCTGCAGTGCAGTAGTGCACACTGACACTTCAGTGGGTAAAAGTGAAGATTCAACTGGGCTTCATTCAGATTTCCTTGTCACAGCCAATTTCTGCTGCCAGAGCATCTTTCTTCAGCTAAACCAGTAGATTTTAGTGATAGTCAATACCATTTTGAACCTTTCATAATGCAACCACCATTGGAGTACAAAGTTATAACCAGCTAGTACAGTAAAATTAAACCATTAGGAGTAGAAATAAGGTCTAAGGAGTGACAGGCAGGACTATGAAAGTAAGCACGTATTTACCTCTGTCACCTTCTCCCTCCTCTTCACACCCCTCAATGACTTCAGAGAATGTCACAAGTCTACTCTTCCAAATAAATCTATGTTGTCCTGTCATCAACATCCTATAAGTGGTGTTACTGTACTGTGGGTGCAGAATTTAAATATCTTACACAGTATTGGTGGTTTTCTATGTTCATTCTAGCCTATGTACCTATTCCACTTTGACCAACCTTTAGGTAGTAGTTTAGCATTTGCTTTGCCACATTGTCCATCTGAGGCTTTGTTATCTCTACACTGTTGTCTCTACAATACAGACTTTAAGTACATGTTTTATATAATAGACCTTTTGCCCAAGAAGCTAAGCCGAAATACTTATTTGAATGAGAAGCAGCTCTGTTGAATTAAGAAGTTCTCCTGCAATAAGGTTGAGAAGAAAGGTTATGTAATATGAAGTCATTATTTGCATCTTTTTTTAATAATTTAAAGTTATAAAATGGTATCTCTGTTGCAAATCTTCTTAGAGAAGACAACTATTCATAAAGTAATACTATAAATTTTATAGCACCCAGCTGGATTAGATCTACAAAATTGTTTCTTTGAAAAGGATAAAGAAATTAATTACAAGAGAACAGGGGTTTTTCTAAGTTTCTTATGAGACAACTCCTAAATCTGGGATACTGAAATTCTATCCAGTTTAAAAAAAAAAAAAAATCCCACACTACAGAAAACCTATCACTTCCTGCATTCAAGAACTTGTCAGGTTTTACGAGGGTGGATAAAAATACTTAAAACCTTGCCAAAGATTAAGATGAATGTTTTAAAGGAAAGGTTAAATCACTCATAAATTTCAAACACCTTCTGTGGCTTTTATCACAAAACAACCCATAAGTGGATCTGTCCAATAAATAGTCCTGGGGGAAGGTGGGGTGCATTTGCCTAACTGAGCCTCTTGAGTGTGGTTGGGAACACTAACACTTGTGTTCATCCCTAAGCTTGAAGTTAAATTTTCCAAGGGCTGTAGTAGAGCTGAACAGCAGTGCTCATCTTTCTCCTTTTATGAATGCCTATTTTACTTTTCTGTACTGGGCAAATCAGTGCATTTGAAATCTGAAGTATGTTTAATAGTTCCTTCGTTTTCAATCCAGACACTGGATATTTTTTCCCCCCTTGGTGAAGCTGCTATTTACTGACATTACAGCTGTGCTAAGACTACAAAGAGTCCAGGCTTCAACAAAATAATGTCTGTGCAGGAGTCACTTTCTGAGGTCTTAATTTTTGCACTGTGTGAGGACAGCTGAGTGCAGAGCACAGGGAATATTCTGTGGACCAAGTGACTGAAGCAGGATTCCTGTCTGCTCTGCAGTACAGAAGAAAATTTTAAGATAGGCAGCAAATGATCAAAATAGAACAACAGATCCACACAGATAAAGGTCACCTACATCACTTACAGTATGACTAACTTAAAATAGGGCTAGCTTCAAACAAATCATGAAGTTTTAAAATAAGATGAGTTAAGCTTATTTTTCACACTTCAGTTATTCAACTTTTAGGATTTAAAAGTACTCTTTACAGTCTTAAACATCAGTCAATTTTTAGAGGCCAATCTGACATTTTTCTACAAGTCTTTAATTGTTATACCTGGAGCTTTTGAAAAACTTAAATATCATGTTCATGATAAAACATCAGAAATCTGCAATGTGCTTTTTTTGTTTTAAATAGAGTTGAGTGAAACTTCATAAAAGTCAGTACTTCCAAGAAAATCCATTGTAAAACTGGAGAGAGGGAATTACCCAGAGAATTCTGTGACCTTTTTTCAATTAGATTTTCAGTCACTTCTGTTTTCTAGTGGTCAGAGTATTGCAAGCTAAAAGGATAACAGAAGGGGATTAAAATTCTGTGTGCAGTACAGCATCATACAACCTCATAATGCTCCAGCTCAAGCAACCAAGAAAAAGGAGTAACTCTTGGATCTGCAAGATGCTCTGCCCAGCTTCATTAGTCATAGTTGAAGAGAGGATTTACAGCTTCAGATGCAATAAGTACGGTCTCTGAGCCCTGTGCAAGTGTTTCTGCTAGAGCAGGGTCAGCCCATTGAAAATTTGCTTCTGGCTCTTTGTGCCATGCTCCATCATGCAGTACAGACATGGTCTGCACCACAGTCCTGCCCTTTGCACAGTAACAGATCACCCCCTTTCAGGTTAGAATAGTATCAGCCCAGTATCAGGGAAACACTTAATCCAAGATTTTCTCCCCAGAGCTCAGTGAGGTTTAACACGATCCAGAGATGCACTTATGCATACCAGATTTCAGGATCTCTGTTTTTTAATGTTGGTTTAATTACCTGAAGTGGAGGATATGGAACAGATGATTTAAGAAGAAGGTGACAATATCAAGCAAATGTAAGAAAAACACTGAATTCTTCTACTAGAAGAATTACAGGTGCTTTACTGTAGTCCACTCAGAGTCACATCTGTGGATGTCTGCTCTCAACCTCTGAGTTTTAATGTTGAGGAAGCTCTTTTATTATTCCTTTGAATAGTTAATGTTGTTTCTTTTTCCTTTACCCCTGCAGTGATGGCTGGGCAGATAGGTATGATGTGACAGAAGGGTACCAGAATGAAGCCGTTGGTGGGATAACGATCAAGCTCCAGTCTCCAGACGTGAAATGGTTTGATGATTACTACCTACAGCTTCGGCCAGAAACCAACCATAGAAATCCATGGTTTCAGGAATTTTGGCAGCACAGGTTCCAGTGCCGGTTGGAAGGGTTTCCTCAAGAGAACCCTAAATATAACAAGACTTGCACAAGTAAGTGAATTTATTACTTCTGCTGTATAAAACAGTGTGACTGAAGGTCCTGTGTAAACAGCTCATGTTGGAGTGATGCAGCCTTGTTTGGTGAAACAGTGAGTGGGGTTGGAAGGAAGTAAGCTTGAATTGCAATACTTGCTCTTTTCAAAGTATGAGAAGCACAATTTTAAAAGTATTCAGGTTTCTAAAAAAAAGAAAAGAAAAGAATAGATGGTGCCTCGGTACATGGCTGCTCTTTATATTTTAAAAACTTGATGCTACTCCACCTCCACAGGCACGTAAACACTTTCAAAAATACGGTAATACAAAATTGAATGTGTCTTTTCTGAAACAGAGCTAATCATATTGCTTTGGCTCATGGGACCAATGCAAGAACTAATATACTAAAAGTTACCTGAAGTCCATGTGGTATTTGTGAATGTCAGATGGAAGACCAGACAATTTTAAAGATTTCATTAGGTTTTCTTCCAGCAATAGGTCATTTCAGGAAATGCCGTTTTGAGCTGATCTTTTTCATTAAATTGTACTACTTTTAGCAAAAAATTGCCACAGCAATTTGTCGCTTCTACACTGCAGAGGCAAAACTCTTTATTTTTTTTTTTCCCATATAGACATGTCACATTTTTCTGGGTTTTTCTTGTTTGGGTTTTTTTATGACTTCTGTTAATTGCTCTTTATTTTATGGAGTGCCAAGTAATACTAAGGTTGTCTCTAAAAGCAGGATTCATCACCTAGTGTGCAGTAAGCCAATCTCACACACAGAGCCCTGGTATTTATTTCATTTTTGCACAAAGACAGGTGCCAGGTGGTAAATCCACAAAGCTATCATGCTGATTCTCAAAACTTCACATTACATGTACGCTTTAGAAAACAAAGAAATCAGAATTCATTGGTAACAATTTACCTAGTTCTCTTATATAATTAGTATTTTACCTCATATTGATTGAATGATTCTCCCACTTCTCATGCTAATTAGCCTGTATGCTCAGTCTTGGTGGTCGGTGGTCTCAATCTTCGCCTACTGGAATTACCTTTCACCCAGTTGTCTTGGTGTGCAAGATGGAGACTCAGATCTGGGTGCAGACTGAAGATAGTCCAGACTATCTTCAAGGGGTCCTTTTTTCAGGGTCCTTTCTTTGAGCCTAGAAGGCTTGTTTCACTGATAAGGCAGGACCCTGTTTCACAAACCCCTTCTCATTCTCTGGGCAATTTTAAAACTATTTCTGACCCTAAGACAATGGGTATCCTGAGAGTGCTGGGGCATAAGGTGGTGCTGTGCTGGACATTAGTGCAACCACAGCTCTAATCCCCAAGGGGTCCTCCCTCCTAAAAATGTCTATATCTTTCACACACCAATGAGACCAAAATATTTCTTTAAGGATCAAAGTCTTGGATTTACACAACACAAACCCTAGTGAAAGTCCCACTTAATGTTCTTAAGTCTTTCTTTTAACTTGGACAAGGTCACAGAGGAAGTTTGTGACTGAGATGTAAACCTATTCTAGGAATCCCAAAATCTCACTGTACACTTTCAACATTCAATTGACTTTTTCCTATTACTTTTGTTCTTCTACCCTTCCAACACAGTATGAGACAGGTTTTATTTGCATTATTGACAGGTACTGCATATTGAGCAGCAAACTTCGTTGCTTTCCCCACGATAATGTAGATCTCTTTCCTGAGGTGTCAGTGCAGTGGGCATAGCTGGACACAGGCTAATAAAGACCTGGTTTCTATCACAGTGCTGTGTAAACAACAACATTTCAATTTGACTTTTCTCAGTTTCTATTTTTTTTACTTAATTTTTACCAAGACTGCAAGAATCTAATTTATGTTTCATATGAAAGATCAGGATTTATGAAATGGAGGTACCTACAGTATCTTCTATAGTGCCTAAAATGCAATTCACTACCACAAAACAATTTATTGTGGAGGTGCAGGAAGATGTTGTTTAATACATTAAGTTACCCAGTCATGGATATAAGACAACTTAATCATAAAGCTTTATTAGCTTGGTATGAACAACGTTCATGACTGGAAGGTTTCCCACACAGAGCCACAGTTCAAACAGGTTCCTAAAACCTAGGAACTTCAAAACACAGAGAAATGTACATAAATACAGATCTTGTGATTTGCTAATCATTAATAGAGAAAAGGACTATTTTCCCCAGTAGATTGCTCTAATTACTTTTTCTTCAGTGTTATTGTAATATTCATTGCTGGACCATGAGGGTTAAAAGAATGAAAACCAGATAATAATACCTCCAATTCTTTCTTGTTGCTGTAGGATGAAAAATGGTAATTCAGTTGTGGAGTTTCCCATGGAGTTTCATAGGTTAAAAACATTATGCTCAGCAATCAATTAAAACTGCCCATTTAGTCAAGGATTTCACATAAGAAGGTTTTAGTCATCATAGTACTTGGTTTTATAGTTTTGATTTTTGTCTAGACCATCTGTCAAAAGTCATATGAAGGAAATTCAAAGTTCAACATGAAAGATGACATGTAGATTTACTTAATGACTTTTTTTCTGTGTCTTAAGTGCTAGGACACTTAGCCTGTTTATCTCATAATAGCTGCAAAACTAGGCAAGGGTGTATGACAAAAGTGAAAAAGCATTGGAATTAGACAACTTTGTGGATTTACCAGCAAGAAAGACACAAATATATTCACTGAGAATTGCAGGAGCAAAAGATTTTGATGCTGGGAGTTAAAGCTCAAAATTAAATGAATTTTTGAGACTGTCAGTGGTAGTTTTTGTTTCTACCTCATTTCCTATCTTCCATATGAATTTGAAAACCATGTCTTTAGCTTGATTCTTGTATTTATATTTGGTTTTTTCAAGCACTCAAAGTTTTGAATATTAAATTCCCTCACTTCAGACTTCACAGTTGTAAAGATGACACTTCCCCTCGATGGCCACTTGCATTTCACAGACTGTGCTGACAGTTTCTGCACAGTGACGAATATGTTGGTTCTGCTTCAGATTTCACTTGATAAGAAAACAGGACTGTATCCTTTATTTTATCTAACTGAATCCATGGTCTTCCCCACAAACCACATTAAAAAACTTAAAAAAAAAAAAAAACTTAAAAAAAAAGAAAGAAAGAAAGAAAAAACCCACATTAAAAAAATCAAGCTAGGGGTGTTTCTCAGGATTACAATTAAAGAGATTAATTTTCTTGATAAATGATGGAGAGAAATAAAAACCTTTTTTTTCCAGCAAAAGTCAAGCAATTCTTTACTTGTTGGCATAATGATAAAAAGATAAACATAAAGCTGATTGATGCTAATACATCAGGTCATTATTAAAAGAAGGTGTCTATATAAAAAACAATAACAATTATGTTAGTGGGAGAAAAAAAGATGAATTATTCTCTTTAATCTAGTTGTATTATCATGAAAACATAAAGAATAGTTAACAGTAAAAACAACCCATTTAAATAGGAAGAAGATAAGCACAGGAAGATATAGCTGAAATCTGAGTAATAACTGACTTCACCTATGCACCAGCTACGGATTTAGTTGTTTAAATCTCTTTGTTTCCTTTCATGATGCCTGTCTAGTAGAATATTAGGCTAAGTTTATCTCTGTGATAGAAAATACATGAAGTCATAAAGCAATGAAACCAGCTCCACTGACCTGTGAGGTTTTTTTAACTTTTTAATATAAGCTATTCATAGACAGTTCCAGGAAGGTATTTTTATGAAAAACAGACATGATTTGGTAAGATATGTAAAATAAAATTATGAAATCAACCTAAGAGAATCCAAAAAACAATACAAAATAATTTTTTCTCTGTTCATTTCTATCAAATATTAAAAAGTTTCCATCCTTTCACATACACTTTGTTCACAATGAGATGAAAATTTCAGCATCGAGCTCACTTTTCATTTGCAGATTTGAACACACTTTCTTAATCCAAATGGGTGTCACTGCTATTGTTAAGTACATTGATTTTCTTCCCAGCTGGAGCACGACAGAAAGTGAGAAGTTTACAGACTTATCTGACCTGATTTTCAGTGCAATCAGTTCCATGTCACAGGAGAGCTGCTACAAGCCACCTCTGAACAACAAAAGTCAGAACAAAGAATGTAAAATTCATGATTAAAAGGAGAACACATAGTGGCCTCCAGACACACATTTGTCTTCACCTCTGGCACCGGTCAGATATTTTTTTATTATCTAATACCACAATTCATTAAAGTTCATAAACAGGAGTGCCAGCTGATCTAGATGAGTAACTCCACTCAATGACCATCTTCAAGTTGCAAAAGGTTAATCCAACCCTTTGGTATTGATTACCTTTAGACCTTCAAAGACTAGGCGTTTATGTGCCTGCTATCTTTAAGACAAGCATTTCACCAGAAATCAAATGCCTAGTACTTTTTCATCCTACTGAAGGTGTTTTAGAAATGCTTTTTAACACAGAGCAGAAACAAAACCCAGCCCAAGCAAAGTATGTGGTGAAGATCTGGCTCAATGGACTTTAGGGGGAAAAGTCAAATCTTCAAAGCCACCAGGAGCAGAAACATATTTATTATATTTAGTAGTCTGGTAAATTATTTATATTGCCTCCACTGCTAAGTGATATAATTTTTCCTGTGCTGTGTAAAAGCCAGAGGCATGGACAGAACAGCATTTTTTATGATGATACTCAAACACAGAGCAATACCAGAACACACATCCCAAATATCTGTGATCTAAGTGTAAGACAGCAAAGGGTAAATAAATAAAGGCTGATGCTGCTGAAGCAGTTCAGTACCTTATTTTGACTAGCAGAGGTTTCAGACTCCAGAAAAAAAATAGCAGTTTCGTATAAAGGAACAATAGAAACAAGAATCTGGAGGGAGGTGATAGGTCACTTGTGAAGGTATTTACAGCAGGTTCCTGACATTAAATACTGTGGTTTGAAACAGAGAGGCAGAAAACAAATGGAAATTATGGAGGGTGGGTCATCACAAAGGTAGCCACAGACAGAACAAAGAGGGTACTGA